AAATAAATAAATAAATACCCTCTGTCACAAAAATATCAAACATTACGTCATTGCCGTCTTCTATCGTGACGTCATGCTTGACGAGGATTACGGCCTGTTTTTTAGTGTGGCCTTGGTAGTACTCATGATAAGACCTGGACCCGGGACTGATTTACTTTTTCGTTTTGAGGTCTCTAGAGGCCAAAAACACCATTTGTTCAGATTCATATATATATATATATATATACTAGCTGAACCCGGCAGACGTTGTCTTGCCTTTGACTATTTATAATCCCGCGGGCTTTGCCCCGTTTAACTTCTTAATTTTCAAGATCTCGTTTGCATGGCTCAATTACGTCCTGGTTGAAGTTCGTTCGCTACGCTCACTCACCTTTAGGTTGGAGCTCGTTCGCTACGCTCACTCACCTTTAGGTTGGAACTCGTTCGCTGCGCTCACTTGCCTTCAGGTTAGCTCGTTGGCTACGCTCACTTGCCTTCAGGTTAGCTCGTTCGCTACGCTAACTCGCCTCCAGGTTGAAGTTCGTTCGCTACGCTCACTCACCTTTTGGTTGCAAATTAGCTGTTGTCATAAAAATATAAAAGATATAATAGTGCTGCACCCTGTTGGTAATCCTTGTAACTTTAATGCTATTGAACATCATAGAACAGAACCAACTTGTTTAATTGAAACAGCTGTTAAGATTCATTAATTCCATTTCTCATAAGGTTAACATGGGAAACTCCAGAGCCACTGGGGCGGAGCCGATTGGACGGATCACGAAATTGATGGTGTATAAACCTATTCCATGACATTCTACACGTATGTACCAAGTTTCGTGGCAATCGGTTCAGCGGAGTCTGAGTTTATCACTGCCAAACAAACAAACAAACAAACAAATATATATACAAACATCCTCTTTTTACTTATAGATATGTGTGTATGTTAAAATATAACTTAAATTAAATTCTAAGTAAGGGACCTCTTGTCGGGAATTTTCAATTTTGAGTTATGTACATATTTGAATTCCTTATTAAATTCTGAATCACTTGGTGCAAGTCCCATGCATCTGCGATTTTTTTTGTTAAAGTTATAGGACTTTGAAGTTTTGTTATTGAAAAGGGTCATTTTGAGAAAAACACTTTTGAAAATTTCAAGTACGCATTAAAACACTTTTTTTTGTATTTAAGAAGAGATTTTGGTATCAAAAGAATATAATGTGCTTATAATGTCCTCTTTGGGGGTAAAACCAATTTTTGTCTTAACTCTTGGTAGTTTTCTTTTAAATAATTGTTTTATAGAAGCATGTCGTAAAAATCACATTTCAGAAAAGGGACCTCTTGTCGGCCCTATGTTATTTCTCCATAAGATAAGAAAAGGTACCTCTTGTCGGGGCCGCAAAATTTGTGAGATATTTTGTTCTCCGTACACTGAACTTTGTTGTAGTACTCTAAATTTCCTCTAGAATGCAGGACAATTCATTTTTTGGACTAAAATCTGTTCATAAAGTGAATATTAGAAATGGGACCTCTTGTCGTTATGGCGAAATAACATTGAGCAACAAGAGGTACCTTTTCTCAGACCGTGCAGAGGCTAACAAAATGATTTATTTCGACCTTTTATGCCTTCTCAATTCGATATTTTAACAGATAATGTCCTGTTCTATGATAAATGAGGTACAACAATCGATAAAAACCCGAATTTCAATATTTTCTACCTTAATTACTTATATCAGCCGTACTGAAAATTTTGCATCGGCGACAAGAGGTCCCTTTTCACTTTCCACATCACAAATCCTGTTATTTAGTTTCAAGCTTTGTTGCATTATCTTCTTTATTAAACCTTTTGGCTAGTCTATACAAATAAGTCAACTGTTGTAGTTTGCTTGTTTATGAACATATTTTGATCAAATTTAGAAAATACTATCATTTCTTACTAAACTACAGTATTAAAACACTTTTTTACCTTCCCTGTTGCAGCAAACCTAAGTACTGGTTGAACTAATTTTATTTAAATAGGGAATAAATGTGATAATTTAAGGAGAGGTTTTAGTGTAGATCCAAAAAGGCAAATGGAAATTCGCTAATTCCGCAGGTTTGCTGCGGCGGGGGTATTTTGCATTTATGATAACAGCTAATTTAAACTAAGCCACAACAAAAGCTGTGATACACAATTAGAACTGTCAAATTAGGATTGTTTAAAGTTGTGTTTATGTTTTATTTCATAAATAATTTGTGTTATTGTGCGAATGTTTTATAATCAACTATTTCAGGTTTTCAATCAGCTTATTTATTCTGAATCTATGTCAATGATTATGCAACTGTTTTTTTCTTCCCGTTGCGAAGCACGAGTACAGTAGCTAGTAGGGAATAAATGTCATATTTTAAGGAGACATTTTAGTGTAAATTCTATCAGGTAAATGGGAATTCGCTTAGTCTGTAGGTTTGCTGCGGCAGAGGTATTTGGTTTTTTAACGGTTACAATGGAATTCATGAAATCTATATAATTAATACGCCAACATAAAATTTGTCTTTGAAACTCCTTCGCCATTTCTTAACCGATTTTTACCATTGACGTCTCATTGGAAAGAGCGTGTAGCGTAGATTTGCACTGACCTTACATTTTTGAAAAAATCCCTTGGGCTCTGCCCCAGTGGCTTTAAAGGTTACCATGTTATCCTTATGAAGAAAATATTTGTTTACATTATGATCAGCTGGATAATTTAACTGCTGTTGCTGTTAATATTTAAGTTGCAATTCAAGGAAATGCGTACTACAAAAATTAAATCTTACTGACCTGGTTGAAATTAAATACTTTCTCTTTGAATTTGGGTTTGCGTACATATTACATTGAAAAAAAAATTAGAAAGCCTGGACAATTTGATTTATTATCCAAATAAGAACATTGAATTGTCATAGTACTGTATTTATTGACAATCATTGAACGAACCGATTTGCAAACTGGAAACATAAAAAGTCAAAGAACGCCACCGAGTAAAATAAATAGAGATAATGCTTTTTTTTAAGAACTTATTATCGTTATTAGCCTATACTGTATAATGAAGAACACCTAAAAGATGAAGATTCCTTCAAATGATGAACGAGGGTGTTAGCCGTAGTGCTACAATTTTTAGTAGGACTTAAGGACTAAACACCGTGATCATTGCAAAGGAAAGCCCTCTAATGCTAAATAAATCTGGTACGTCAAGGACATTAATCTATGTTTCCATACAAGTCAAGCGATTTTAGAAGACTAGCCTATGACTATATCCAAGAAACCCTTACTAACATTTTAATTGAAGGATTTAATTATTATTCATAGTTAAGGGTAACAAAAACCAACTGAACAACATCAGGCCTTTTACTCTGCATTTTCTCAGGTTAATATAACTAACGTTATTCCAACTATCCAAAAGTACGCCAATTGAACAAATAAAATTGTGACAGACGGGTTATGCAGAAAGTCCTTAAGGTGATGAGAACAAATTTTATCTTTATTAAAGAATTATTGAAATTTGTAAACTTACTGCTAGCGACAAGGGTGGTACCATGTATGTAGGTTTATTAATAACGAAGATAAACATGGACAACCTTATGCGGATATGTGTCAGGAAATGTTTGTGGAAAACACTAAAAAACAATATCAGCTATATTTACAGGAAAATATTTACAGGAAATGTTGATTACATTGAACTGTTACATACATCGTGAGTATTTCCATGAGTTACACACCGGTAATCTTTGAGTTGACTCTCTTAAACTCATTGCAAATATGACTGTTATTCGTTTTGAAATAACTTCTGTAATACTTGGCAATTGCTCGAATTCGAGCAACATGTACACTAGTTTGCACTTAAACTGTGTATAAAAACAACAAAAATATATGAGGAATGTATTTTGTTTTTTTACCAGTATTGAAAGTCTAGTTCAGAGATTTATTTTAATTGGTAAACAATAATATGACAACTGTTTGAGCCACTTTTGGTATTTATAATTTCTTTAATATACGATAGACATTAAAATCAGCACTTCGGTCTAGTCTTAACAACAAAATGTGAAATATGTGTAGGTATTAAGAAAGTCCTTCCCGGTAAAAATTTTAAAAATAAAATAAATGGAAGGGTTTTAGAAAACAAAGTGGATAGTTTATTTGAAAAATACTTTAATTTCATCAAATACAATACCTGAGAGTGAACTGTAAAAAATACTCTAAGAATCCTTATGAATAAGTCCAGTATAAAAAAGGTTTTAATTAACACTCCAGACTCAAAAAAGGTTTACAATATTGATAATAGCACTTGAGGTTAAATAATGTCAAAAAAGTTCTATAAGCTACTTCTATGATAATTTCATATTATTCCCTTACAGATTAATCTATACAATATACAATATTTACAAAAATACATAAAAAATCGTAAAATTTGATACAAAATGCTCTTAACACTACCGAAATATCTTATACAAATAAAGCTTTAGACAAACTTTAATATAAAACTGATCAAGTGTAAAAGTGCTGTATCGGTTGCAATTGTATAATTTCAGTTCAGATCTAGGCTTATTTAATCTCATTTTTAACTCAATCAATATTATTACCTGAAGTAGGTAATCAAACATTAAAATCCATTGTTGTAACCCCGAAACTGCTATTTAGACTAGAATAAGGTGAAGGTTATTACCTCGTCTGCAGTTCCAAAATTCTATTTTGTACTTTAGTAGTGTAGTTACATGTTTCGGCAGACGCCATTGTCAAACTGTCATAGTACAGGAACATCAAAATCCACTTATTGTAGCTTTGTCAGGTAGGCATTTAGTTCACATACACACGATGACACATACACGAAGACACGATTGACGAATAATAAAATACATTTAAGTAGGCCTACTGATTTGTACGACATTGCCTTGACCACGAGCAGCAACAGACACATGTGTGTATGTGAACTAAATGTCTACCTGACGAAGATACAATAAGTGGATTTTGATGTTCCTGTACTACGACAGTTTGACAATGGCGTTCTGCCGAAACATGTGATTACACTACTAAAGTACAAACTACAATTTTGGAACTGTAGACGAGGTAATAACCTTCACCTTATTCTAGTATAATCAAGCTGTGGCTATCAGTTAACAGCTATGTCTAAGGAATAACTCTGCCTTAGTCACTAACAAGACTACAAGATCGCGCCACTCATCCTACACTTATCTCCATTCATACTTGGCTTATAATACTTACTTTGTATGGTCGCCATTTCATTTAAAAGTATTAAAGTATTAAACATTATTGTACTCTATTAATTGTGAATCTAACTGAAAATTTAAAACACTCCAAGATCCAAACTTGATACAAGTTACGAAATGTGGATAAGCAATTTTAAGGTATTCAATGGCTAAAACCCAAACTTGGTAGTAGGTAATATAATTTTTTTACAAAAAAGTTCAAATGATACTATACGTAACTAATAAAAAGTGTGTGTTATTTTTTAAGAAAGCTGTTGAATGTTAGTCAAGTTCAGCAAAGATTTTTTCTGTAATGAAATTCGTTACATTTTCCTCTCGTTTTTAAGATATCCAAATTTTTTTTGTTTTTTACTTTTGTTGATCATAATAAACTAAATATATATGATTAACTAAAATAGATAAACCGGAAAACAAAAAATATGAGTAGAATAAATTTAATAACAATAAAGTGCATAAAAAAATATCATTGACAAAAAATAAAGTTAAAGTAAGCAATGCTTTAAAACACTTTTTAAATAAAAACATCACAAAAGATTAAAACATGGTACTAAAATTAGGTAAAATATTTTTAAAAAAGCACAAAGCTATAAACAATCTAAAAATACACACTATTTAAAAAATCTAAGACAATCTTACCTATTTTCTAAACACCTTTGAGACTAGCTTGAAAAACTTTCAGTGTCTTTGGACGAATCTTTAAAGCTAATTAATTAACAGATGGACGGATGGAATCCTGTGAAGATGGCCTGAAACATTGGAATACAAGCTAAGCTATAGTCTGATATTGTAAATTGAAAGAAAACCATACAAATCATTAGAACATTGAATTTTGATACCTCTTTGTTTAAAAAGACAAAGAAAAAAATGGTCTTCTCTAGTTAATTGTTGCAGTGATGAAAAATTACATTATATTGAATGGTGCGATACCAGGGGCTCCCGACGACGCAGACTCCCGACGACACAGACTTCCGAAATGTGACGTCACGGCCGACCACCCCTCTCTCTATCTGAGTGGAGTGGGAGAGAGTCGTTGCGGCAACGCCCCCGATCCAGCCGATGGCTTGTCCTCCACACGAAAACCCCTACAACAGTATGACGTCACGGCCGTATGATCCCTCTCTCCGGGTAAAGTGGGGAAATGTGAGTTTTCGTCCGCGATTTTGATGTTGTTGATCTCCACTAAATTAACGATATAATTGTTTTAAATCAGATTTGTAAAGCATGGCATAGACATATTTTTTTGATATTTTTCATTCCCACTAAATTAGCAATATATTTTAATCAGATGTGAAAATAATTTTTAACGCAATTTGGACATTATTGGGAAAGTGTTGAGGTTTGTGAGTTAGTATGACATCCACATAAATCACTAAACTTATTAAAGTGAATGTTTGCTTTTGAATGTAATTATTGTATATTGTATTCATGAAAGCAATAAGAAGACAATGTGCTGAATTTACTCTGACTTTTAATGTAAACCTGTAGAAGTTTCAACAGCACATTGGGATATACAACGTCACACAGCTGATGTAAACCAATAATTTAATTCAGAATAATTGTTTCGTTTGTTTAAACCATCGATCTCTATTACTTAGAGCTCGATGGTTTAAACTAATTGGTGGGTTTATTAATTATAATACTGTGTTATTTACTGTAGGACATGAGGATTCTATAATGGTAGGTAAAACAGACCAATGCTGTATTATTCAAGAGTATTTATGTTTAATAAATGACTATTACGCCACACTACAATGTTTTAACGAACTTCCCAAGAAAGGATTTAGGCCTAGTCCAGAAAACAGCTGTTTGCCGCCACCTTTAGTCAAATGTGTGGTTTCATTACGTACTAATGTATTGTAGTGAGTTTTTACCGAACAACAACCAGCTGGATGATTACATTAGGCAATGAGTGGTTATAAACAAAATCATAACCTCTCTTGGAGGTTATGAGTACCTAGTGATTGTTAGTCCTTTAGTCGGTGGATATATATAAGGATTTTTTTATTGTTAAGTTAGCTTAGAGTGGTATGGTGTAAAATATCTTAAGTCACTCGTCCAAAATGTCCAAAATAAGCGAGTGGGACGAAGTGATGATGTAGTAACACTTCGGCCCAGTAACATTTCGGCCAAACTCAAATTTCTTAGAAAAACAGTATCACTTCGTCCCACTCGCTTTTACAGATGATTAAATAAGCTAATGGAGTAACATTTCGGCCCGACGAAAAATTGACAAGGGTTGAGGAACGCAGTTCAGGTAGTAAGAGGTACATGACCTGTATACTTTGCAACCACCCTCTGGTGGAATGTCGCCCAACCGTCACCCCTTGCATCCTCTGACCTCACATGACGGAGAATCGGTGGAATCTTACCTAACCTAACCTAACCTAACCTAACCTAACCTGTCAAATATTTTGTTGGGACGAAGTGTTACTAGTGGGCAGGTAGAGAGTTGGACCGTAGGCCACATCTGAGGGTTTCGGGCCGAAATGTTACTGGGCCGAAGTGTTACTTGGGCCGAAGTGTTACGACACGGAAGTGATACTGTTTTTCTAAGAAATTTGAGTTTGGCCGAAATGTTACTGGGCCGAAGTGTTACTACATCAATGGTGGCACACTAAAAAAAACACCCTGTATTTTGATTCGATACTAAGATTTTCCCATAACCAATTTTAGTGGACTAGTATTTTTTTTCTGACGCCTCAATTATTTTAACCTCAATTTTAATATTGCTTGAAAATAAACCTGAACTATTACGGGGTGTATTTTTATTATTCTCCGGATGACCATACATGACTACCCAAATATATAATTAATAAATAGAAAACATTATATTATTTTGCAATCTTTTATCAATAATACTCAAATTAATTGGTAACTTCCATATTTAGTTTATGGGGTTTCCAATAATTCAATCCCTCCTTATTTAATCCGATGCTCTCGGGTCAAACACCTATTCGGGGAATCGAAATGTTTTGGGATTTGAGTGACGTATACAGTACTTATTGTCACCCCTCCTACTACTTTAGAACGAATCAGATAGTTTTTCAATATAAGCACAACCCACATTACCCTAAAGCCACTTAAAGGTTTAGTTGTTGAAATGTTTAAAGGAGAGTGATCGGGAAGTAGAACGGCGTGTGGTGGGTAACGGGATGCATCGAAGTCACTAAGTCGTGGACAGGGCATATGAGAACAAGGAAAAGGCTACCTACCTACCTCTGCTATTGTGGGGTGGTCCGCCTGGCTGACCCTAATTAATTTCGCTTGACTGCGCTCAACAAAAACAACTAATCCTATACCCAATACTAAAAAGTAAGTTATCTATACAAAATATTAACATTCATTATCATATTATATTTTGTTTTTTCATGTCGATTATTTTGTTACTAAATTTGATGTACTGTAATGAATAATAACATAGTTTACCCATATCCTGTTGTTGTAATATTTTGTTAAATCTATTACAGTAGAACCCCTCATATCCGGCCTTGGTTTTACCGGTCCTCTGTTTATCCGGCCCCTTCCAGGAAGCCAATATTAAAATTTTTTTCTCACACCTTACAGACGTTTAGATACAAGCACTAGTCTTTGTGACTGCTCAAGTCATAAAATAAATTGTTCTCATTATTTATCTGTTTGTTTATACATTTATTTGCTGAGTCACTATACTCAGTTGAGCTAGTAGGCCTAACCTCTGATCAGTTGGCTGATTATTTCCAAAGTGGGTTTAGTACAGTACAGTACGAGTACATTAATTTTTGTATTTCACAAAATGGTTAAGAATGTTGAGTAGAAATGCAAGTACCATCCTAATGATCTTTAAGTACAATTTATTGTCATTTTTACCTCCATTTAATATGTTTAGTTACCTGGAATCATAATATTTGTACATTCATTACTTACAGTAATGACTTTAACCTACAAATATTTTTTTCCTTTCTACAGACATGTTTATTTTTCTAAAAATGATCCCAGAACAGAATTAAATGATACTTTTGATTGCATATATTGATTACCTATTATTATTAGGTATGAATTGTCATTTTCATAGTAGGTTGGTTTATCCGGCCAAATCGTTATCCGGCCAGGGGCTTGGTCCCATGGTGACCGGATATGAGGGGTTCTACTGTATGTTGAAACACAGTGTTGAAAAAATACAATAAATCGCAAATAAATCATTGCATTAGAGATTACAGCATATAGATTTTTTAAACTGTGTGAAACCCCCTCCCTTGCACATAATAGCCCTTGGCAATTCCCTTAGAAAAGCCTTTAATTCCAGGAGTATTTTTAAGACAAAGACAAATAAAATAACTAAAATAAAAATGAATTACGTATCATTGATTTCAGATAAGTCCTAAAACAATTATAATGAATTATTGTTGATTCTGCATCGTGCTTCAGGTACGTCCGATCTAATCAATAGCTCATTTTAGAATTAGCAGATTATAGAACACAAAAATCAACGACGTACAACTTAGTGATTGATGATATTCTTTAGTTTAATTTAAGCATAGGTTTAGCAAAACACAGTAACTAAATATACAACCTTAATATACATATTAAAAAACAATGTGACGTGCAAGTTATCTATTATATTATTAAAGTGATACAATCAAATTTTATGTAAACGGTTAAGACAGTTTACCAAATAAAAATATAGACATATGGCATATGAAGCTTAAAGTGTGGAGATTTGCCAAAAAATATTGCTATGGACGAACTCCCTAAGGGCTCTGCCCCACGGGCGGATTTTCAAAGATCTACGCCTTGTATGTTTTGGAAGTTAACGTTATTCGAATTTAGGGAACAACAGCTGGCCAATGCAATTGACAATTTAGTTTGTTTGTTAACATTTTTGTTTACTTATTTTATTAACGATGAATATGAGTTTAACAAACCATGTATGATGTTCGTTCCAAAGAGGTTGTCATCGATCTTAACAGGTTGCCATTTCATTGAAAAGTATTAAAGTATAAAATACGTCATGATGGAAAGCGACGAGTTCAGGTACAACCTCTACATACCCACCTCGGCCACATTAGGACGTATGGCATGAATGTTTACTTTTAACATAATTTTAGATGACAATTTCTCGATCTTGGGCCCTTTTTAATGAAATATAAAGTCAAAATTGATCAAGTTAAATTAATTGTGGCTTCTGTACACCCGTGAATTCGCGGGTAGAACCTCTTGTGTTAAGTTAATCCAACACATGTTAAGCAGTTCGAATTTATTTTAAGTAGCCTCCAAATTCATACAAAACATCTATACATACAATCGTCTAAACCTACGTTTATTCGAACGAGTTAGCGAAAAATACAGAAATATATTACGTCTAATAACACTTGCAATAATATATTTACACTTATACTGTTGACTTACGAGACGGTAAATACAATATGTAAAAGTTGGTAAGTGGTGATCGATTTCGATTGGACACTCCAATCATCATCAGACCCAATAGGCGAATCTAGGCGGGAATAGGCGGGAGTTAGCGAACCAACATGATCGGATACGGAACGGGCCTTTGTTTTTGGGGGAAAATTTCCCTAGACAATAATTTTGAAGAGCTTAAAAAACAATTTAGTACAGTATATTGAAATGTTTCTGTATGATGTTGATTATTGGTTACGGAGAAAATTGTAAGTAAAAAATTCCCATATTATTCTTATGGAAAATAAGTAAACAGTTGTAGTTTGTTTGTTTATGAATATATTTGGATCAAACCTCTCAAATCTATAATTTTTATATTAAGCTATTGAAATTTTATTAAAAACACACTTTGTAACCCTCCCTGTAGGCAGCAAAACCTAGATATTCGTTAAACTTAATTATATTTGAATAGATTTAATTGAAAATCACATCAGGCAAATGGAAATTCGCTTAGTCTGCAGGTTTGCTGTAGCGGGGGTATATTAATTTGTTTGTTTGATATATTAACGGACATATCCAATTTTATAACTTTTATGACTTATGGTTCAGCTTTTACAAATTACAATACTGTAATAAATTATACTAGCGAGCTTAAGGCCTACAATGGTTTTTAATGACCCAAGACCACAGGGTAGTGAACAGAATGTTGTGCAATTTGCACCAATACGTGAGCATGGTAAGAAGTTATTATGGAAAATCTGTGAAGGAATTAGTCCAATATCGCACAAAAACTGTGTTACCTTCTCCACCATGTTACCTTATCCAGTAGTGCATGCGATGGGTCGTTGTCGCGTTTAACATTAGTTATCTTCCAAATTCAATAACAATCGTAGCATGTTAAAATCAAGCTACGACCTAAACACAGTACAAAAGGGAAAAAAAATGCAAATGATGATTACTGATCAAATAATACAGAGAAAGTCTTAAGTTGACATTTAAATCACAATTTGGAAACGACCTCTGATTGAATGGGTACAGTATTTTACGGATTTGAATAACGTCGTTTTTGTATGAGCTAGCTCCCTATGGAATAAGACATATTTAAATTGAATATCACATGGCCAATATAATCGAGTTTTGGCAATGAACAACATAAAGATTTCGGGCGACTATTTTAATAATTCTAATAATTTATTCTAATCTTTTTAAGCGGAAATATATGTGTAAAGGCATGGTATGTGTCAAAACTGATTAAAAATATATTGCTAATTCAGTGGTAATTACGTGCCATCGGCTGGACCGGGGGCGTTGCCGCAGGGAATTACGTGTGGAGGTTAAGCCGTCGGCTGGACCGGGGGGGTTGCTACAGAGAATTACGTTTGAGGGTAAGGCTTCGGCTGGACCGGGGGGAGTTGCCACAACGACTCTCCCCCACTCCACTCAGATAGAGAGAGGGGTAGTTGGCCGTGACGTCACAGTTCGGAAGTCTGTGTCGTCGGGAGTCTGCGTCGTCGGGAGCCCGTGGCGCGTTCCCTATTGAATAAGTAATGTACTAATAGTTAGTTGATACATAGAAATATCTATCTATATATTAATAGGCAAACATGTTTCTTTAAAACCTTTTTTCTCAGCTCGTCTGCATCGCAGGGAAAATCTACGCATTCTGTTGGAAAGATATTTTCCTCTAGATGTGCAGAATCCCTTTATAAATTAAAATAGGCACAAAAATAAGCACAAAAAATGAGTTTAAAAATTTTGAAAAAATTAACATGGATCTTATGGGTTGCCATGCTGGTGACGAAATAACAACGAAATATAAACAGAAAATCAAAACAAATGGAAGAAATTTCATTCACATGTTTTATTTACAGTGTGGGGTGAAAATAGAGAAAATAGTCTGCACATTACATATTTTTGGTCGAGTTTCGACCACTGGATGACCTCTAGTTATTATTATTATAAATGCAAAATCTTGTAATCTAAAACAAGCGCATGTACGGGCAAACTTATTTTTCTGTCTGAGGATTTTAGATTTTTTTCTTAGATAAAGGGTATTTGGCCACGAGAAATCGATTGGAGTTGGTCACAACGCTGGAAAAAATCCAGTTTCCGCCCTACAGCCCTTGAAAGTTCCTATGTTATTGTCAACACCTTTTTGTAGTTTAAGTTAACAAAAATATCTGATACAGATTGTTTTTACCGTCATCATTTTGATTTACATGTAAATAAAAATAACTGTATTGGTTAGTTTGGACTAAAAGTTTTAAAGAATAGTTATATTCAGTTTGGTTTACATAAATCATAGATATTATTGTTAAATGTTTTCAAGGCTAATTAAGGTAAGATTAAGAATGAAACGTGGAAGACCTCCGAAGCGAATATACATAATCCGAAAGGGAGAGAAGCTACAATTGATCGTCAGGAAACAAATTTCACCACTTCGTCTACAACCGAGCCAGTTCCAACCAGCCCATAGATCTCACCAAATGTCTCAAACCTCGGTCAAGTCACGCATTGAAGAATAAAAGGAGAGAAATAATTTAAGATCTTATGGCCGTGTAAAATAATGAACAATCATCTGGATCATCTTGAGCAGGAGTGTCAACGAATCAATTGCTGCTCGACGTTCGGAAGAACGCACTGCAATTCCTCAAACCTAGTCACCATGTTAGCGGAATTTGGATGTTCATGATTGGAACCGTTTGACGTGGAATGAATGCACACAACGTGTGGCCGAACAGATGCGCGGTAAGAGGGTAGTTCTTCAACATCTAGTTTGATCCGCTATGCGAGGGGAATGGTCTCTCTCTACTCCCCTTAGCTAACAGGTAGCCTTAAACACACTATTCCGTAGCATTTCATTTCATTATTGCTGCCCATTATAAATTCAAAACCTCAACAAATTATGAGCTTTTAGTTTATATAAGTGTACAGTTATGTCAGTGTTTAATTAATATTAAAACAAAATGTTATTATTCAAGTCACGGTACCGGTACTGCAAATAATCTAAACGCTATGATCTATGAAACGGGTGTGATTAGACACACATTACACAGTTTATATTATTTCAGTGATTAAATATTTTTGGTTTGAATTAAAACTATTTTTGTAAATGATAAAATGTGTCTGATCAAACCGAACAAGGCTCGGTCCCCCGGTACTATTGCCTTATTTATTGGATTAGTAATCTTAAACAAACAGCAATTTTGTTGCTTTTAAATTTGTTGACTAAAATGTGTTATTTATTTCAAAATATTGAAATGAACACTAACAAAAGATTGACAGTGGAAAATTTAACAAAAATTAAATTAATTAAATGAAATTTAAAATAAAAACTCTAGTGTCACCTCCTGGTGCACCACCATTGTCACTCACCTGCTACAGCCAGCTATCCTGTATCCCTCCGGGAGTGCTAAGGGCTTGTCTCCTCTCCTCGATGGCGTGCAGTATCTTGCGCCTTGGCCCCATAGGTATACCCAGCGTGATCAGGTCTTGGTCAGAGAGCATCAACATGGCCTCCAGGTCGATCCGTTGATCCACAAACTGGTCTGTGTAGTCCGCTACACCAGCTGACAGCAGGAACCGCTGGAGTGATGCGATAGATCCAACAATGCCTGAGTTTTCCTCTGAAATAATAAGAATAGTTATTCAAAGTGTTGATGCATTTCTGTATTATTTCTATAAATCAGGTTCATTTGTTAAATGAGGTGGGTTTAGGTGATACACTGCAGTCAAATATTCAATTTACCTAATTTTAAAACTTATTTCAATTTCTACGATATACCATCAGATTTTGAGCACTTTGTGAATACTATGCCAGAGTGCACATGCTGATGAAGTGCTGATGCGAGTGCATGAGCTGATGTAAGACTTGGATAGTAAGACTCTTTGATCACACTTCTACTTATTATTTATTCTTTTTAAAGTTTTTCTTGCATTTCAACTTTTAACGTCAGACTAATCCTCATCTCACATTTATTATACTCCAAAATTTCCTTTCTTTATTTTGTTTCTAATAGGCTCTATAACTATGAGTATTAGAACTAGGAATAATAGAGCTTTTAATACTTTAATACTTTCTTATGAAATGGCGACCATACAAAGTAGGCATTTTAAGCAAAGTATGAATGGAGATGAGTGTAGGATGAGTGGCTCGATCTTTTAGTCTTGTTAGTGACTAAGGCCGACATAGGGTATTCCTTAGAAACAGCTGTTAATTAGTAGCCCATACAGCTAATAGCAACTAAGGGACCTACAGTTTATAGTGGAATCCAAACCACATTTTTTCCTTGGTATTAACGAATTGGTCTAATTATCAGAATAGTACTGTGATAGTCGTAGTACTCACTAGTGCGGACGTTAATCCACATCAGGAAGTATCGCATCCACAGTGCATGCCTATAAATATCCACAATTCGTGACCTCCTTCTTGTAGCTGGATTACAGGACAACACCACCATCCCAGTCAATTTATTTACGACTTGAGTGTTCATGAATACATTTTCTAACAAATAAAGGGGGTTTTTCAGATAGTAAACCAGATCCATTCGGTAACAACGAAAGACATTCAACAAGCTAAATTTGTCTCTAATGATAAATTGAAGTGAAGAAGAATGATAAATCCAAGTTCAACAATATTTCTCAAGTTCTAATTCCTAAAGTGCCCTTTGCTATCACCAACTGACCGTCACTCTCCCAGCACAGTTCCCCCTGGTTCCGTTTGGCCAGGCTGCCGGCACTGCCGATGCTGCTGTTCTCCCCTCCCTCCTTCTCTCCCCCTCCACCACTCATGGTACCAGCCAGATGGTTCCTGAGGACCAGGTCATGTGTAAGTATGAGTTGAAACAACGCTTAATATCAATTTCACACAGAACTTTTCAGTTCTTATGAGTCTTTTGTTGGCATTTTTAAATTATCTTAACCCCAACATTTTTTGACTAGATATGATGGTTGACTTGGTAAAGAGAACTGAATTTGCTAATAAAAGAATTCAATTTGTACAAAAATATCTAACTAGTAACATTAAGACTCCCCATCCTCCTACCCCTATCATCTGACATCTCCTCACATACAACAATTTTTGATAATGCAATAGAGTGTCGATTATCCAAAATCTTATCATCCGAAAATTTGTTTAACGAGTAAGAAGACAGACACATAAATGGGTCAACCATAAGCTCAACAAGCGATTGCTGCTTAAGTGTTGAAATTTTTGTCTGCTATGGCAGTATTCACAATTTCTATACAGTTGCCTGTGGGTATTCATCAGTGACAGTCTATGCATTATTCTGTTGTGTTGTTTCTAATTCATGTTGGGGTCTAAACTGGATAGATATTGGTTCAGTTAAAAAATGTGCAAGTGGATGCAGTTTAGATCTGGAATATGGATTCGGAAATATGATAGTATCTATAAAAAAGAAAAGTGACGCTTTTACAAAACTTGCCTGTGTGTACTCGATAGTAAAGATTGGAGTTTATATGTGATCTGGTAAGCGAATAGGGACCTCTTGTCAGGTCATTTTGAGAAAAACTATTTTGAAAATTTCAAATGCGCATAAAAACAGTTATTTTTTTATTTAAGAAACGGTTTTGGTATCAAAAGAAAGCTTATATGTCCTCTTTGAAGGCTTGTCTTAACTCACGGTAGTTTACATTTAGGGATGGGCCGATTCCGATTCTCGATACCTCGATACCTTCGATACCAGTGGTATCGAAGAATCGCCGATACTCGATACTTTGCTTCATTGTACTCGATACCGATTCTGAAAAGTGAGGTTAATTAATAATGCTAAACTCAACTGACATTGAAGGTTGTAAAGAGTGGCACATCATAGTTTATTTGAAATACTCTGAAGTCAGCTAATATAAATAATTCCAAGTTCATTATCTCACATTCGTAATAGTTTTATAATCCAAAATAGATTGCCATTGCATTTCAGAATGAGTAGCAATGGGTACGATATGTGTTCATTTGACAACAGTGAGTGACAAGACAAGACAACTAGGCCTATCAGAACTCTAGTTGCCGCCATGTTGTCAGATCAAAGGCAATGTTGCCAGATGGTACAAGCATTTAATATATACATATAGTACACATAAGGTGTATATAGTCAATGGTTTAACTCACATTTTCTAACTCCAAATTGTGGCATAGCTTATAATTTTTTGTGAAAGTGTGGCATAGCTTATAACTGATTATACGCTATGGAACAAATTCACGATTATAAGCTATGACATTATAAGATATGAGACCCCACGAACTGTTCAGCTAATTCAGGGCTTCATGGTGACTATTGTAGAAAGCCATTTAGCGATGTATTTTTATCGGTTTTTTTATGTTGTTTCTCTATGACTGAACTGAAACAGCTGTCACGAGTTTGCAAATGGCAAATGACTTGTTTAACCTATGTTTTGGTTTTTTGTTGTTTGTTTTGTTTTCTGTGCGTGCATAGTGAGTTTGAGTTGTTCAAAATGGATATGATCTCCGACTCCGTTCTAGTGATGTGACGAACTCCATGACTTTTTTATATGATTCTTTAAGTAATTTAAGTGATATTGATGATGACAATATTGAAGATGACTTTGAGTTTATAACTCAAGCAATATGGAACATTCATTGTTGGCCTAGGCCTAGATGTACGAATTATGAATTCTTATGGAAAAAAAACTCTGTGAACATTTTAGGCCTACCGGTACCTAAATTGGTGATTGTGCTCAATTAATTATTATTATCAATTAATTATTAATTTAATAAAATATGTTAAAATTCATGTCTTTTTGAAATAGCCCTATCTTATTTTTCCTTTTTGGCTAACCTAATCTATGTAGGCCTAACCTTAATAAATTCAATGCAGTTATCTTATTGTATTTAAAGATTAAATAAAGTTAGGCTTTATCATAAGTTCATAAGTTATATGTGTTATTAAATGAATTTTTAACAGGTATCGGTATCGAGTGCGGAATCGAGAATCGAAACCAAAGTTGTAGAATCGGAATCGGTATCGGAATCGACCAATTCAGGAATCGGCCCATCTCTAATTTAAATAATTGTTTTATCGAAGCATGTTGTAAAAATCACATTTCAGAAAAGGGACCTCTTGTCGGCCCTATGTTATTTCTCCATAACATAAAAAAAGGTACCTCTTGTCGGGACCGCAAAATTTGTGAGATATTTTGTTCTCCATAAACTGAACTTGGTTGTAGATTTCTAAATTTCCACTAGAATGCAGGACAATTAATTTTTTTGGACTAAAGTCTTTTTATAAAGTGATTATTAGAAATGGGCCCTGTTGTCGTTATGGTGAAATAACATGAGCGACAAGAGGTACCTTTTCTCAGACCGCGCAGAGGTTAACAAAATGATTTATTTCGACCTTTTACATCTTCAATTTGATATTTTAACCAATACTGTCCTATTTTATGTTAAATGAGACCAATACAATTGATAAAAAAACCAAATTTTTATATTTTTGCCTTAATTACTTATATCGGCTGTACTGAAAATTTTACATAGCCGACAAGAGGTCCCTTTTCAATTTCTACATCACATATCGAGAAACTGTTTGGATGGCAAAACCAGTAAAATATACATGTAAAAAGTAATTTAGATGTTATTTAAGTTTGTTTAGGATAATTAACTCTCTAATGTAAATTTTTTTATTTCAATGAGAGTTTTGTAGGCCTATTGTTGCAAACAAATAACAAGTAACCAACCTTGGCCTAAACGCCACACTGCCGAAGCCTGGTCTGTCAAAGATGCTGGCCTGTTCATGCGTGATTACTGTGTTTAGATACTCAGGTTGTGACAAGGATCGAACCAGCTCTCCTCTGGTGTCAAACACATCAGCAATGCGACCTCGCTTTCCTGCCAAGTACAAATAATAGGTTATTATACTAGGAGAATGTGAACAAAGTTAATCTGAATGTAAAGCTTTTTTTTTAAAGAAAATTTAAGTTGTCTAAATCACACATACTGGCATATAAGTATAACCTACTGAGTCTGGTATTAACGTAAATCGGCATTCGCGATCACGCCAACATCCGTAAGTAAATATTGTGGTCCCATTGATTTGTCATTCACGATCGCGGCAACACTCACGAGTATTTCGGTCTCGGCGATACCGCGATTGTCTCCCGCGATCGCGACTGCACTATGAACATCTCTTGCGGTGTCAGTAAAATTTCTGTGATGCTATCCAGTGATCGTGATTTATTTATAACAAAGTATATGAGAAACAACGTTTATAAACCCATAAATAATTATGTCAGGTAGGTCAATTATTTTGTTTGGTCACAGTATTGTTCGCAAAAGTGTACAGAATTTTAGCTAGTCAAAAGGTTAAAGCAACAAAAAGTCAGCAAGAAATGTAAAAACGTCATCAATGAGCTCTTAATTAGAAAACTTACTCTTTGTGGGTTATTTTGAGGGGGGCTCCCCTTCTACACCGAAATGTGGCCCGCCTTTCCTCCAAAAATTGTCAATGTGGCCCTTGAGTAAAAAAGGTTGGAGACCCTTGATCTACTCAATTAAACTAAATTAAAAAGAATTATATTTATTATGTACTAGTTATCTCTCTGTAAAATATGGCTATCCCAACATTCAGACAATTCAAAAATGTATCTTGAAATTTTATTTAAATGACACTGATTAGTATTTATAAAACATGTAATGTTTTAATAATTCATCTTAAAGTCATTTACAATCCCAAAAAATAAAAGTTGCAAAAAATTACTTACCACCATTTTGAGTGTCATAGGAGTTAACGTAGATGATTTGTGAGTCGGGACGAGCCCTAACAGATCTTCCAGAGTCACTGTCACCCTGAAAAGAAATTAACAATAATCAGTTGCACAAGTCATAAAATATTGATGTGTGGCTCAAATACCCGAGGTTTTGTCTTTTAAATCTCCAAAACAAATTCAAACTGAGTGACTAGAGCTAAGTTATTGCTTAAATTGAGAGATTACTGAATAAGCATTTACTGTTGGTAAAATACCTGTGTAATTTAATTAATATTGAGTGTCCGGTCAAATAAAAAAATTAATATTCAAATTAAATTAATATTCAAATTAAATTAATAAAATTAAATTAAATATTCATTAAATTAATATTCATCAATACAAAATTTACTATGGGTAGATGTCTTTTCCATGCCTTGACCTGGTCAAGACTAACAATTATATGCAGATGTGTAATTATCTTGAAAGCCTGAGGTCCTTCACGGTCACTAGTTCTTGCATCACTGAAGAGATTCTTCAGCATAAAATCCAATATATACTACTGTCCTTCTTTCATCTGTGCACTTATACTCCTATCGATAACTAATAGAGCTAAACATGTAACTGCTTTAACTTATATAAGAGCAATGAATTAACTAATTATACTATTTTATATTAACTTCACAACACATCTAACCCAGAAATTCCCAGTCACTTGACATAATTTTCAGAGAGTTAGTGTAAAAAGAAATCTGTAAAGAAAAAACTTAACCTTACCTTTATTTCTGTCTGGAAAGGACGATGATTATGGGTACCATTTTTCAGTTTCCTATCGAGGATTTTCTTTACCCCCACAGCTCCGGTTGGTTTTTTGTTTATGGTTCCTCCTACGATCTGTGTAAATGTAGGTCCTCCTACTTCTGCATTTACTGGCTTGCGAACTCTGAAATCATATATTCTTAACTCCAAAATGCTCGTCTTCAAAGAACTTGTATACGAAATATCAAACTAGGTGTGGAAAATGAAATCTTAGAGAAATCGGGGTTAAGTAAATAAAACTGTATGATTGTTTGAGATACAATTCTGTTCATACATATTAATAAGGGGTACAAAACATTCCTAAATTAACATTATGTATAAATATATCATGGTTTGAAAACAACGAGAGCTGGTGTTGGAATCTTTTTATTTATTTAACATCATCACATTACATCAATTCTCTTGATAGGCGATTTGTCATAAAGTCTAATAGGTACTACAGTACATTGATAAATCTAAATAATAAAATACAAAGGAAACAAAGCAATCAATACAAACTTATTATAAGAGAAGTAATATCCAGGCAGTTAAGTAAGGCTTCTGCAATACAGTTAATGAGTTCTGGGCATAAACCAAACTGTGAATGATTTATTAATTATTGCTTTCTTAAAAAAAAATCTTTGAAAAACAAGAAAAAAGATCAATGGGACAGTAGTTAGAAGGATCGCGGGCATCGACCTTTTTGAACAGCGGTTTAATCTCAGCAAACTTAAGCTTATCAGGAAAAACTGCCTTCTCAAGGGACTGATTTACCATCTGGCATAATGGATGTTTGATAAATTTAAAAACTCTTTTAATGACAAAAAGAGGAATTTCATCCCAACCTGAGGAGATAGTGTAACTGAGAGATACAAAAAAGTTTCTTAACTCATCAATTGAAACCTTTCTAAATTTATTTAGTTTTTTTAAGGGGTTGGCGGCCTCTTTTAACCTTGCATTTGCCCGTCCACATAGACTAACTGCCCATGCAAGGATTGGATCCAGCAAAGCAAGGAGTGAGCCAGTACAGTACGAAGGTGAACTGTACTGATAAAATGTTTGCGGCAGAGACCAGGATCCAAACCCACGACATCGCTTTGTTGGGCCCGAAGTCCGTGACGTTACCGACTAAGCCACCTACTCACAAATGAAAATTTTTTACATGGATGATTTTTGATTAATAACTGAATGGCTTTCAATTTATCTGCCAATTGGTTAGCATAACAAAAACATTTATAAACAAATTATTGAATTTATTTGCTACCAATACTGCACAATTTTGATTATCCATTTCATGTTTTAATTTAATTTCAACTGGTATATCAGATATTTGCTTATTAAGACCTGTTTCATTTACTATTACTTGTATTCCAGCCCCGAGAAGAGAAAATATCAACCAACACTTACATCACTGTAGGGATGGGCATGTCCATCTCAACTTTTGCCCCACCAAGAATTTCTTTCTCGACTTTCTTCAATCTCTTTTCTTCCTTGTCCTGCTCCTTTTTCATCCGTTCGTTGAACTTCTTCCTATTTTTCTCCACATCTTTCATTGCTTTCTCCTTTTTCACTTTCACTTCTTTCCTGAACAACAAAAAGTCATTATTTATAAGTTTCTAAACAACATTCATTCAATAATTTTAAAAAGTAATAGGAAACTACAACCAATACAAAATTCAATTTGTGTCTTAATTTTACAGTTCTATTAAAAGTGCTTAGAGATAGGCTCTTAACTTTAAACCAAATAAGCTGAGACAATGATTTTAAAAAGTTGCAGAAAACTGTTTAGATCAAAGTAAGCACGTATTAGATAGAAACAGAGTGTACAGAACAAGGTCTTGGAAGCAAATAGCCAACACACACGAACAAAAGTACAGAAAACTAACTCAACTAATACACTCATCAAACTCATCAAACAAAATAAGTTTTCCTACAGTTACCTAACAATGTACATGTTCTCTCACTGATTTGAGAAAGCAAAGTGGCCAATTCGCTCATCAGTGAGACAATGTTAACATTGTCTCACTCTAATTACTTTGTCTCACTCCAGATTTGCAACGTGAAGGCACGAAATAGTGAGCGCGTAACATGCAGGCAACGTCGTATGCGCGCGAAATGCGTTGGCAGCACTGGCTGTAAATCAGCTGGTCAGCTGTTGTACTGTTGTATTTGTCACTTCACATCTATAATATTAAAACGAAACAGTGTTTTTTAATTTTTAATTTTTTATTTCACGATTCTGAATCAACCACTCGACAGATTTTCATGATTTTTGTGTTGAAAGAAAGATAATTTTAAGAACTAGGGAATGTCGAAGCCATAATTTTGGTTTAGGGTCCCGGTTTTTTAGAAATTAAGTTTTAATTTTTAAAAAGTCTAGCAGCCGACGCTAAGATTCTAAAACTAGCTTTTGGCATAAAATAATTTGCTTAACATAACAGCTGTAATCATTCAGCTTTTGTGTCACAAATTCAGCATTTGGATAAAAATGTAAAAGACATACTTAGGGTTGACTTATTTATACTATGTGTAATGCTAATCGTTGATACGTTCAATTCTTCTGTAAGAGGATGACAGATTAATTATATATACATAGTAAAATACTAGGATGTTCAAATTATTTTTTAAAGCAATCTTTGTAATCTTTAATTTGTTTTAGAGCAAAATAATTTGTTTTAACTAACAGCTGGTTAAATATAAACTGTGGAACTATGAGTTTATTTTATTTACTCTTATTTTTTCATTGATTATAGGAAATAAGTAAGATTAGTAGAGATAATTAGACCACAGTTTAAAACAGTTAAGACCAAAATTAATTAAAACACAGTACAAATCGAGGCTCTGTACACGAGTATTCATAAAAAAGGATAAATGCAAATTATTTTACTGCTCCACTTTTCAAGGAAAGAATAGAAAAATAACAATGTTTACATATTTTAATTCTTCATGGTAGCTTTTTGTTTACACTTAATGTTTGTCTGCTTTAACTTTGTTTGGATTAGGCCCGGAAATATTGATGTCATAAAAAGAAGATCAAGAATAATCAGGAATCACGATTTTAAATTACCACCACAACCTCAGCCGGGTTTTATACAAAGATAAACAGATGGATGACATAGATTGAACACAACGTCAACATTGACCTAGGATACTGCAATTAGACAAACCATCCTTTTATGAAATCGTGTTCAGTTGTGGTTACGTTTGGGGATGCCTATATCAGCACCCCCAAACGTGAAAACATCACTTTTATTTAAACGATGAATATAATATTGTAGTTTAAATTAACTAATATGGTAAATCACGATGTACACGATGTATTCAATGAGGGTGGGTAATTATCAAGGATAGAACTGATAACGGTATGAATTGATAATTGATTGATTATGGATAATAAACATTGACAATTACGTCATTAGCTTTACTAGCGTGTTTACTTTTTATATTCCTGCTACATGTGACCAGTTCTTTTTTTCAAATGAATGTTATTTGAACTAAACAGCTGTTTCAAAACAAACTGTTATTGTTTTTACTTTTATTTGTTTACACTCATTTATTTAGCAATTTTAATGCAGTGAAATTTATATAAAGGATAGGTGTGACGATTAGTTTTAATGTTAGGACACCAAAGTTAAATTATGTGTATTGTGAATTTTATTGGATATTATCGTTTTATTATAGGTCGTTTCTATTCAGACCTACTAGAAATTGTGTATAGTAGTTGTATTGTGGTGATAATAATGGAAGAGGCAGGTATGCTGTGGAAGGTGGTATCGTTGACTAGGTCTATACACTTCTCAATTGACTATTTAATTACTCTCTCTACTGTAGGCTACTTATAATCAGTGTGCGTCTGTGCGAATCGGCTGCAAATCTCACTTCAACGCTTTTCACACCGTAAAAATTGCAGAATTGCTGTTTTCTTGTAAAATTATCGGATTTAAAATGCATATCGAATAGGCCTATGATGGAATAAAAACATATTTGGTCACACAACATTTGTTTACAAGATGATTTTTCACATTAAAACTGCAAGAAACTTTGTCTTTATATGGGTAAACTAGCTGATCTGAATTGTACTACACGGTTTTCTGACTACTGAATTCCCGTACGTAGGACGGGCTAACACCTCGTTAAATATTATATTAAAAGTTCACTTCTGTGTAAAAATAGGTTATGTTTCTTCACAAATTTATTTGTTTTATGGTAACTGTAGGAAAAGTATAATGTGCAACTCGAGTTCAAAGTACAATTGCCTCACTCGAGAAACCATTCCTCACTCGCCTACGGCTCGTGAGTAAGGGTTTCTCTCGAGTGAGTCAATTGCTCACTTTTCTCACTAGTTGCACAAATAACTATAGTTATATTCAATTTTCTATTTAAGATTTTATATATTAATATTATTTTTGTTTTGGGAGTATCCAGTGAATGTTTTGTCAACATTGGTTTCTATAATAATTGCTATATCAACTTACTTGTTATGCAGTTCTTGCTTCGCCATTGTTTTGTCCAGAAATTCAACAACATCTCTCCGTCCATTGAGTCCAGCAACCTAGAAACACAAAAAAAATTTACAAAAATCCTTCTCAATTTATATCCTCCTCAAGATAATTTGGGTAAAATAATAAACTGATACAGCACATTTAAAATTAAATGTTGGACCCCATATGAATCAGAATCAGAATCAGAATACTTTATTCTTGAACATTGAGTAAAGAATAGGCGTCAAACATTACAGAGATTTAATTATAAAATAGCATAAAGTTGTTGGGCTTTGAGGCGCTATCGGTAGTGATGGTTATTACTATGAGGTATGTTTGACAGTCATAATCAAGTATAGTGTCTAACAGCAATTTCTAAAACAATTGTGTCTGATATTTTTTATGTTTCATCTTCATACCAGGATCTTCTCATGACAATATTAATGTTAACCAACATTTTTTTGAAATTTCTTGATAGTTCATCAGGACTACTAGAAAGTAGTTAATTGAATGGCTAAAGAGGTAATCTACAACCAAGTTGTCTTTTTGATTCTGAGAAAAGTTTGCTAACTTAATAACAGTTCAAAACAGGACAGCTGTCATTAATTACAGGGTGTTTAATGATCTTGTTGGAAAATCATGCTCTAAGCCAGTAACAAAGGTACAAATGGAATTAAAAAAATAAGCTGTACATTTCTTTCAATCAAAACTAATCCTTTAATGAGATTTGTGTCAGGCACTTGTGTTTTCTGTTGTCTGTAAAGGAAACAGTGTGCCCGTGTTAGTAATATCCCGGTACCTGTCTCTTAGTTTTGTATAAAACAATATAATTTCATTTGAGTTTGGAATTTGATTTGGGTCTAAGACGTAATTGTGTGATGCAATGAGGAGGGCCAGGTGATTGGGGATGTTTTACCTGCAAAGCTGTGTGCAGATCCAAGTCCAGAGCCCACAGGTTGACATCAAAGCCCACAAGGAACGTGACACAGGCGAGGTGTCCCTTACTGGCTGACAGATGGAGTGCGTTCTGTCCAAAGTGGTAGTTGCACTTCTCTGGATCCCCTCTGCAAAAAGAAGCAGAGTCGAGAAAACTATATTAGTTAACATAATCTAATGTTATCTGCTCAAATGCATTTGAAATGTACTTATACTGAGTTTGCCAAACTGAACTCCAAATGGTAGACTATGAAAATTGTAGCATGATCAACCAAATTAACAGAATAGTACAAAACAATATAGCAATCCCTTTAAACTTTAGATTTACTAAAACCTCTCTTAACCCTTCCTGAGCGTTGGCCGTATATATAAGTCAACGACGCTATTCAATAGCGAGCTTTGGCCGTAAATGTACGTAACTCAATCTGAAGGTCACAAGCATACGATGCATACATACGTCAAAACATGTAAATGTCATTTAGGTACTTAAAAGTTGTTTCTTGGCCGTTAACAGTTACTTAGGCCATTAATCAATATTATTGTTGCAATATTTTTTTTAATTTTTGATGGTAAATTTCTGATTGGTGGGTACGCATTACTGATTTCGTAACATCTGTTATTCACAAAACCGGTCGGCTGAGTCATCCTCATGTTATTGTTTTGTGCAAACAGTCTTTTTAACCTGTTCTTGAGTGAAGTAAATCTAGTAAGATAAGATTAATGGAATATATTCAATGCATTAGAATGTGTTGTAGCCTATTGTTTATTGAATGATCCAAATCAATATTGTTTATTGTATTATGATTAGATAAATAAGTTTTGTCTTTTAGAAATAATAAAAAAGAAGTCATATTGTTTTTATCATGATTCTTTTTATTTCATTAACCTTTTTAACAGTTTATTAAAAAAAGTTTTTCTTAAACAAAATTTACAAGCATTAGACGTATATATATGGCATTCAATGCATTCCTTAGCGAGCGTTAGATGTCGCAACATGGTCATAAAACTTCTAAAAAATAGTTTTGGTAAAAATGTGTCCATAATCAACTTTAACCAACAGACAGAAGTAGAAAAAAACAAAATTAAGTTTTTACCCAAACAAAAGCCGCCGCTCGGGAAGGGTTGAGGTGGACCGTTAAATTGGTTAATAAGCTATTTTAAATTGTAGTAATTATAACAGTAAGTTAACTGATATGTTGTATCGAACAGAATATTGTGTATAGTATCCCCATAGAAAATATAAAAAAAAAATCTAAATCCCATGTTGTTTTGGTGTTATCTTGACACTTGTTTTGTAATATCCAGGATAAAAAATTACAATTGCCAATAAAAAAATTACATGAAATCAATGTCATAGAACAGACTGTCGGAAATAATTAATAATCTTATATTTATTTTCTGGGACTATTTTTTTAGGACCATCTACTTTTTCTCTCATAAGTTCAATGTTTACATTTATTTGGAACGTATACTGTATTGTAAAATCCTCTTACATAAAAATATGAACATCAAACTCTACGCAGATAAATTCTCAGTTCTAATTAATTCACAACCTCGGGATAAATTATTTAAATGATAGTTCTGTAGACTACATCATGCATAGTTCTGGCCTTGTCCTGTATAGAGAAGGAAGTCATGAGTGTGATTATGGAATATCCTGTGTATCAATGTTACCGACGCCTATATTATTAGCCTATTGTTTTGAAATTACACAAAAAGGCACGGAGAAAAACATAATTAAATAGTATAATTCCTTATTGAATCTTTTTACTTCTCTTGCAATATGAACATAATTCAAATAAATGGCTGTGGCAAATAAATCTCATTCATTTTAGCAAATTTCTCATATACGGAATTTAGCATTTTTTTCATATGGGGAATTTCCCATTTTATAGATAATTTAGGGAATTTCTCCTATTGGAAATAAGTTGTTGTCATAGGTCCCGTGGTAAGACCTAGCTCCTGGACCAATTCTATATTTTGTTTTGAGGCCCCCAGAGGCCAACTAACACCATCTGTTCTAGTTCATATAAATATATTTATTTATATAATTATTTGTCCGTTCAACTCGAGTAAAAACCGTCCAATTTTGATGTAATTTTAGTACAAACGTTTAAGCCTACGTTTATTCAAACAAGTTCATGGACCAACAAACTATTGTAATGGAATTTTGTGGGGTGAAAATAGGGTTTTCCCATTTTTATAAAAAAAAATAATTTGGTATTTTGAAGTGTTGCAGTACCCTAAATGATTACAGAGAAAAGCTCAAAAACTGTACATTTAAAATTCCCATCCTATTTTTATAGAGAATAAATAAATGGTTGTAGTTTGCTTTTTTGTAGATATATTTTATTAAATTAATAATATATGAATTAATAATATATGTCCCGTTTTTAAGAGTATTTAAGTAACCTATGCAGTTAGTTTAAAATAGACATTAACTAAAGCCTACTTTTGCTTAGTTCTTATACTGTTCTGGGGCTAAAATATGGACTTAAATCCCATTTTTTTATATTCCTAAATAGGTCTATTCATTTTTTGTAATAACAAATTTGAATAGCCTTTGTGTCATTAAGTATGTTTTATTTACCTACTCTACAAAAGCTGCAAGTACAGTATAAATTACTTTTCACCACACTATGATGTTTTTTGCTGTATTACATACGTTAATTGGTGGCCGAAAGTTACGTTTTGCTGGCCATGCCAGCTGTCATCGTAATTTGGGGACCAAGCAGGTTTTTACAGGCCGGGGCCGCAAAATCAGCTGTCCGCTTACTTTCTTAAAACATGAATGCATGTTAAATACACAATCGAAATCCATAGCATTGCAATAGAATTGTGTTATTGTCACCGTTGCCTAGCAACTATTTATTTTTATTTTTGCTGATTCCTCAAATTATTTCTTCCCATAACCTTAAAGTTGTAGTTGAGTTGACTATCAGTGTGCATTATTATAGTGGTGAATAGTGGTAATAGGGTAAAATGTGGTGAAAAATAGCGTTCGTACCACGGACCGAAATGGTTTTGCAGCTCTCGATCGATTTAAGTTCTCGACTTCGTCTCGAACTTAAAAACTATCTCGAGCCGGCAAAACCTCATTTTCGGCCCTAGGTACGAAATATACTATTACTTGGTAAATTATCGTTGAAATTTTAAAGGAGACTGAAAAAGCTCAAATATAAATATAACCGGGATTGCACGACCTAAAATAGAATCCCATTAACTCATTTATATCTCTCTACCAATCAATATTGATATTGGTCCTCTTCCATCGACAACTTCAGTATTAACAATGTTTACAAAATGTAAAACATAACTTTTTTAAAACCTTTCTACAAAAATATCCCTGAGTATCACTGAAGAACGGCCTCTGTATGAATGTCAATGGCAGCTGGGGAGGGCAGCGGACCGTGAGTCAACGCATGTTACGCGCCATGGCCACCACCACACCGCGACGTGCTGTACCGGTAGCAGGGAGCTGATGGGAGAATCGCACCACCTGGTTGGGAGACACTGCTATTGTTTCTACTTCGATCATTAGAGGTTTAAAAAAAACCCGAACCTAGGATGTACAAGATCTATAATGTTACTTAGAACATCATTAATGGCCATTAAAAATACCAAATCGTTAAAGCTTACTTGAGTTTTATTGGTAATATTTTGACAATAAATAAAACTAGAAATTCTATTTATATGTGAAAGTTGTCACTTCCTTAATTAGTTTTCAAAGACTGCACAACATGTTATTTCTTGCTAGAGAAAAATCCCTATTGACGTCCGAATTATCGATGTTCTAATGTACACTTATAAGTGTAACTCAAAGGAACTGAATATCAATAGGGAAGAATATATTAGTAGTGAGGGGTGTTGGATTTGCTAACCGGCAGCACAGAATAACGAGAGAGGTCTAATTACTTTGGATGACTCTCTTATTCAAAATTCAAATTCTTTATTCACTCATAACATCTTACATAGTACAACGTACAAAGACAGGAGTGTCGTCAAAAGCTCTGAGTTACTCTGGAAGTTATTCTGAACTACTAAGTAGTTATTTTGTTTGAACGACAAGTTGACAAAACTTTTTTAAGTTTTTGAAATGAAAGAATGATTTTTGTGTGTATTTTAAAATAACAGTGTTTTTTGTCATATTTTTGTACTTTCAGGTAATTTAATAACACGATGCCGATCAAGAAGTTATCTCTAATATAACTTGTCATCCTTTACATGTGTCTTGCATTTACCTTATTTAAAAAATGTGTTGCAATCTTATCACTTTGATTAACACTGTTTTTATTTACCTACTAATTCAGTTACTGTTTGTTAATTGTTACACTCTACCCTAATGCAACAAATTATTTGTGTATGGCTAATTTAAAAAAACAATATTAATCTAACGTAACATTGTGCTATTGTTGAAATGTGTGAAATTTCCCCAGCAATAGATAAATTAATGGTATTTCACCCCCCCCCCCCTCCTCCCACCTCTATTGTCATTCACTCACCACCTGGACAGGAAGGTCTACCTACATGTGTGAGTTCAGCAGACCGTGAACATCTGAGGTCAATGGCAGATGTGTTATCTTTGTGGCTCCACTCCACACATCATATCACATTGGTTTTGTTTCCTCAACTCATCCCAGCCCTCTACAGTCTCTTTATTTTCAATTTAGTGATTTAAATAGACGCGTTTCCCTTAGATCAACCTAATCTTTAAGTTAAGAATTGTTTAGCTCTTTATTATTTGACTGACTAATTCATAAATTGTGTTTCTTACTAAAAAACTAAATGATAAAACAGCCCTGCTGCAGCAATCTAATTTAATTTTTAAAACTGGTGACAACTTTAACATGGGGATGGAATGTCTAGTTGTAAGACAATGGTACAGGCTTCTCCATTTTCACCCCAAGCTGTAAATAAAACATGTGATTGGAATTGCTTCCATTTGTTTTGATTTTATGTTTACATTCCATTGTTATTTCGTCACCAGCATGGCAACCCCATAAGACCCATGTTAATTTTGGATTCATTTTTTGTGCTTATTTTTGAGCCTATTTTAATTTATAAAGGGATTCTGCACACAGAAAAATATATCTCTAACAGTGTATGTAGATTTTCCCTACGATGCACACGAGCTGAGAAAAAAGGTTTTAAAGAAACATGCTTGCCTATTAATACAGGGTGTTTTTTTTTAAACTTGCATCTTTATTTATGTAAAAACCGCAATAGATAGAAATATGCAGTTTGCAGGAATCATCTATTGACGTAGGGGGCCCAATTGTTTTGAATTCAACGTTACATTCACATTCCCCCCCTTTCCCCCCAACTTATTTTTTTTAAATAGCAAGGTACCCCTTGTGACATATCAAATGAAAGAGCATGAAAAAAAAAATGTTTGATGAAAAAAAATTGAAAATTGGTTCATAAATTTGTGAGATATTCCCCCCCCCTTCCCCGGAACTTAATTTTTTTTAATAGCAAGGTACCCCTTGTGACATATCAAATGAAAGAGCATGAAAAAAGAAAATGTTTGGTGAAATTTATTTTTCATTTGATATGTCACAAGGGCGGGTACCTTGCTATTAAAAAACAAGTTATGGGTAGGGGAAAAGGGGGGGGGGGGATTATCTCACAAATTCATGAGCCGATTTAAAATTTTTTTTCGCCAAAAAATTTCTTTTTTCATGCTCTTTCATTTGATATGTCACAAGGGGTACCTTGCTTAAAAAAAAATTAAGTTTTTTTATTTATTAATTATTTTATTAAAATAACTAAGCCTATGCTGGGTTGAATTTAAATTGTTCTTGTATGTCTAGTATTATGGGAATGAATACCGTCTATTGAAGTACTTAGGTATGCTGCTACAGGGAAGGTATGTTTTTAGGTTATAAAGTGTGTTTTTACTAAAATGGTAATAGTAAGTATAAAATAAATAAATTTGCTAAATTGTTTCTAAATATATCTACAAACAAACAAACTACAACAGTTTACCTTTTCTCCATTAGTATAACAAGGGAATTTAAAATGTGCAGTTTTTGGAAGTATATCAGAAACCATTAAGCATACAAAAATGCTTAATTGTTATAAGTGTAATATTGTAATGAACATACTAAATCATTTGGATTTTTAAAGCTGTGCAAAATTCACTTTTTACGCTCCTTTCACACTATACGATTTCGCTCGTACAAGTGTTAATCGAACGGGCAGATAATCGTGGGTCTTTTGCTTTCACACTATACGATTTGTAATCGTACGATTAAATCTTAACCCCTACTCCAGCAGAACAGAGTTCATTGACACTTCAGTGGAAAGTGTTAAGTAGTATGGATCGCGAGCAAATTATTGCTGCTTTGATAATTTACCGGCGGAGAAAAATAAATAAACGCGACCGTGTCCACTGGGTGCATCCAATAAATTTGAGACGTGAGGAAGTGGGAATGTTTAAAACATTATTTCAAGACCTGAGAAATGACGAAGGAAAGCTTCAGGGTCAATCAAATCCATTATTTTAACTACCTATATAAACCAAACTGTAATTGATAACAAAAACTGAATAATATAATACAGTATGCACAGGTAATTCAATAATTAAACAACTACACTGTAAAAACAAAATATCTGAAAACTATAACAAGAAACTGCACTTGGGGAGGGCTCCCGTACGACTAAAAAGTCGTGTAGTGTGAAAGGGGCCAAAAGCTCCATTGGTCGACAACAAATACAATTAATAACCGCACGAGCGAAATCATATAGTGTGAAAGGAGCGTTACACTTCTCAGTCCTTAAGCACACCACTAGAAAGTTTGGTCATTAAAAACTTATCTTTAACAAAATATACAGTATATAAAATAACCTATATACATTCATTAATTAAGTCATTACACACATACACATTACACATTCACACATTATACATTCATTATTCATTCATAAGTTAATATTGCAATGCTAAGACATTTTGAAAAGATGATTTAAACCCAATTGAGTCATTCATACGGAAAAGTTAATTTTAAAGACACTTAAGTCAATCATTGTTATTCTCTCCCAGATAATTTTCACTAAACCAAACAGTAACCTAATTTTATACTGCAAAAAACACCGAGGAAAATCATACAGGATACCCAAGTGAATTACAGTATACCATAACGGAACAGGAAGCCCCAGTCTGCAGGGGTGCCAACTATGCCATTAGTCACAGATACGCGACATCCATCCATCCATCAGCTGATGTCATATAATCAGCTGTTGCCACTTTCACTACCATAACTCCAGCCCCTTACTGGACTATAATGGACTACCGTACAAGCCTTGGTCACAACAAGTTTTAATCAGCTGATTTAAACTCAGGCTTTCTCATTTTCTATTACAGACTGGGATAATGGCAGAGCAGATTGTTTACTATGAGAACACGTTGCACAATGACAGAGAAAATGAACATAGACTTGTGATAAATCTAACTTGTACAGGTATAATGTGGCAGTTGATGTTTTAAATTATTACTTTAAAGAGTTTTGATATCTGTCAATTAAAATTTACAGAATAATAAGCAAAGCAATGTAAATTAATGTTTGCACTGGGCATTTACATCTTATGTATGTGACATATCCCAATTAATTTGGGGTAGAAAAAATTGAAGCAAAACACTTTTTAGTGCTATGTACCAACTAAAATTTTTCTTAAAGACAATAAAAAGATTCCCTTCACAAAGCTTAATAAACCACAGTGCAACTCAGAACAACTAATATAACAATGTTTATGTGTGAGAGTTTAACTAATGTGTAGTTTAGAGTTGGTGTGGCAAAACCTTTAGCATATAGGCCTACTATGACAATACCTCCCACTATTAACGGCTGTTTGGTTGCCTTTTGACTATCCCTAATAAATTTAAATTTTTTTTATTAACTGCAGATGAGCCATCTTTTGTATTAATCCACATTTTCTAGTTTACTTAACTAGCTTATTCTACGAGTGGCTGATTTAAATATGATCTCTTAGAACCGACTAGGTACACTTTAAAATTTTTGTAAGTTAGAAGTAAATATTGTTATAAACATAAGGAAGCTAAGTCACTCACCCACGCCCCACTAGCAGCCGCAGGACGTCCAGATGACCGTGAAAGGCTGCCCAGAGTGTCGGGGTCATTCCGTCCTCATCCTTCAAGTTGCAGTCTCGCTTGGTGGCCTCCCTCAGGATGTCCAGCATCCCATCCTGGGCGGCTCTGGAGCAACAAAGAGAATATGTTAATTAATGAAACAGAATAAGTACAACGCTTATTATTCACAACACACTTGATCTTCACCCATTAGTTTGACAAATGTGAATAGCCTCTATCATTAACTAAAAATATTTAATGTTTAGACATTAATAGGACGGCCACGATTAGATAGGATATGTAAATTTAGTATAACGTATTGCCATATATCATTAATTTATATATGTAATAATTAATTTGACCCTTCAGTCCCAAAGATTGATCTATCAGATGTCATGAATAACATTAACAAATATTCACTTTTATAACTAATTAGCCTATTATGTGAGCGTAACTTTACATAAACAGCTTAAAACTGTAGTTTAGAATTGTACAAGCTTAGAACTACCAATGAATAGAAACCCTTTAAGAAGCACAATGCCATTGTAAAACATTCAGTCTGGAAATATTTGAATTTTCGATAGTTCCTGCAGCAGCCGCTTGGTAGACTATCACCAGACTATCACGAGCGTGCGGCCAAGTCAGCTGAGTGAGTGAGAGAGAATGAGACAGAGAATTTGCATAGAGAAAGAGAGAGATAGAGTAGTGCGGCTGCCGCACCAGCGATCGTAGCGGCGGCCACGCAAAGCTCATTTTGGTGGAAAAATTCCAGTCTGACATTTCTCAATAAGCATTTCAATTTTAAAGGGTTTGTAGTCATTGGAACTGCCTACAGTACTTTGCAAAGGCTCTGGGTTAACCAATACTATAAATTATTTTGATTTTTAGCAAATTTCCCATAAACAGAATAAGTTTGTTTTGAGGTCCCTAGAAGCCAAAAACACAATCCGTTCAAATTTGTATATATATATGTCCTTTAGCACAATAACTCGAGCAAAAATTATTCGATTTTGATGAAATTCGGTATAAACCTACATTTATTCGAACGAGTTTGCGAACCAGCATGATCGGACCATGGGAACGGAGGTTTATGGGGGTTTTATGGGGTAAAAATGGGTTTTTTCCCATTTTTGACTCTATAAACCAAAGATTTTGCAATTTCTTAACCATTTTGTAGCTACCGGTAGCTTAAAAAAAGAAATAATTTAGTGAATTGAAGCGCTCTTGTATGCCTAACAGTTACGGAGAACATAAAAAGTGTTATTTAAATTACTACCATGTTATTCTTATGGAGATAATGAAAACTGTTGCAGTTTACTTGTTTATGGATATATGTTGATAAAATTTGGCAAATTTATTTATTTCATCCTATACTATTGACACATGCTCAAAATCAATTTTTACCTTCCCCGTAGCAGAAAACCTAAGCACTCGTTAAATCTAATGATGTTATTTAAATTGGGAATAAATATTTTATTTATGGAAATATTTTAGTAAAAATTTAATAAGACAAGTTGAAATTCGCTTAGTCTGCAGGTTTGCTGTGGCGGGGGTTAAAAAGATTGATTTTTAAAAATTGTCTCTACACATTCTCAAATATTGTTATCAAAGTTTACATTTGTAATAGTGGAAGTATTAAACAGGTGTTTTTACAAAACAACTGTTTCACTAAAGTAAACACTTCTATTTTTGTTGCCATTGTTTTGTTTTACAGATTCAGTGTAACTAGTGGGCAAAATGGCACTTTGCTGCACACAAGAGAAAAGTTAAAAGGCACGAGCTGTAGGCGAGTGTGGAAAGTTTCTCGAGTGCAGCAAAGGCAGTTTGCACTCGTGTTACTCATTATACTTTTCCTACAGTTACTGTAAATCATATACCGTAAATAATTAGTCTTTCAAACACTGTACAACACATTTTTAGGTTAGGTTAAATCAAAACATTGAACAAAATGAGAAACGCTGCACCAGCTGATCGTAGTCGTAGTATCTTTAAGTTTTGCCAACTTATTTTTATGTGAACTCGAATTACGTGCATAATAAAAGCACGCTGTTTTGGGTTGTTTGGTTTGAATACTAGTGTGCGCCAAAGTAAAAACCGTACGCCAAAGTAATGCTTTCTACTATAATCTGTGCAAGGAAGTCCACTTTGTCGGGTGACTGTAGGAAAAACTAACTTTAGTTCCAAGTTCATGAATTAAAAGATGTAAGTTAATGACAAAAACTAACCCCAAAATGTTTTGAAAATATTTCATCAAACCTTTACACACAGTAACACTACCTAAATGAATTGCATTAAATACATATTATATTCAAATATTTGTTAAGAAAACACGTCTTAAGTCCTTGATGTAAGTAACAATTGATTAACAGATCTTAAAAAAAAATCTTATTCTCTTAGTAATGAGAATAAAATAAAATAAAAGAATTGAAAAACGGTTTTATAACTTTTATCACCCTCGGGATCCATCATAATTTTGTCACGGGTTTGTGTTTATCAGATAATTAACCACACCACCGCTCTGCCACACCCATATCAAGGTCACAGCACCATTGTCTGCAGGCAGGTAATTGCCCCCTTTCTTTTCCCACATTAGCCCTCCGATCTTCCCACTTTCCCCAGATCGCAGTTAAATAATAAAATTGTATCGTTCTTCACACTTTCCCGCTGCCTATTGTCACCGAGACACTAGAATTTGTGGTGCCCAACAGTTGTGACTTATAACTCCTATCTTTCCAAAACCAGTGCTAAATAATATTCACGGAAAGTAAATGAGAATACAACTAATAATAGCACTTGAAACACATATTTACACTTCATACTCTTAACTCAAAATATGGTAAATACTGCACGTATAAAAGAAGGTGAATGGTGATAAATAGTGATTGGAGTTTCTATTTATAAGATATCATCTTGTGACATTTTTTACCCAGTTGTTTTTATAGCTCAAATTTGCAGCATTGTATTTTACTAGTAGGCTAAAGAACTTTGATGTGATGTGCATATCAACCTATGCTTAAGATTTTCTTGTGACTCCAAGCGGTCTGTCCTCTTGAGGAGGTAGCGTATCACTGAATAATGAGTTTTAAATTATTTTAATGCCAAGTAACCTTGTACCAAGATTTGTAGCTCTATCTTTATTATTATTTCAACTAACTCAATTAACCCAAATGAGGGATGGCTTGCGTGGTTTGACGGAAGGCAAAAGTTAAAAGAATCTAAATGACACAACCTTAAAGTCAATTTGTTGTTAGTCCTTAAACGTTTTGTAAGGTTAGGGTATTTAAGTTTTGACATTCCAATTTACTCTGTTACTGTATAAAATTCTATGTTCAAGACACTAAGTTCAAGTTGGTTCTTTTCCTCTGAAAATTAGCTGTCTAACATTTTATTTTATGTAGTCTATAAATAATTTGTGACTATCAAATGTCTTGATATTGTATGAAAAAGTCAATGAATATTAGGGCATAGCATTTCTAAACAAAGTTTGATTAAGAATAACCTTAATACATTGCAAACTCGTCAAATAGAAGACACAATTAACAAACATGAACTGTTTGGTTTTAAACTGATATAATTTTTTGTACGTACCACATAACACATTTTTGTATATACTCACTGTTGTGTATTGTAAGTTTATATTTGAAATAAATAGTTTAATAAGTAGGATGAAAAATGAGCCTTATTTTGTCACTAGTTTATTTACATCAATTTAATCACATTTTTGAAAATAACATATGATTAAATAATTAAATGCATAGCATTTGAAGCATAGAGATACAACACTCACACACTACAAACAGTTTTAGGGATTGTTTTGGGTTTAACTTCTCGTATGAGCTAAATCTACAACGTTCAGCGGACCACACAAACCGTGACTAACAGGCGATCTTGTGACTATCGTTAACAATTTAACCGCAATTACCCGAGTATACAGAGTGTGGCTAATGAGAACCCGAGGGAGAAAACATAGACAACTTGTCATAGTCATATAGGAGAAAATTATATAAACAACAACAATGGACCGAGGTGGCTTATGGGGACATTTCATAGCATCTAGGGAAGTACTCACGTTGCCCTATATTTCATATTCACCTTATTTAAATAACATAAGGTATTACTAAGAACTAAACTAAACTAAGAAACAAATTGCTGGATTATTTGAACAATTCAGAAATAAATGGAGTTAACCCTAAAACTCACCAGTGTCACAGAAAAGATTAAGACATATTTTACTGATCAGTAGGCCTATATTCAATTTAAATGTTAGGCCTATAATTTTATTACTGACTTAAATTAACTAAAAAAGTCACAATATGCAGAACTCTATTTTGCTGAGTACCTATATATATTATAGAAAAAGCCAATTTGGAGAAAAAAAAACTCTTTTAAAAAAGGTCAAACTCATGAGGAAATTTGACATTTGTCAGTGAGACAGCCCAGTCACTTTTGATTGGTCACACTCTAGTTGGTTGTCATCGTTGTCAAACAATGCAGACACCTCCATCCAGCAATTTTGTACTGTTCCATTAGGGTTTTGATTTTACTCATACTGACATTCTATTAGGCCTAGTCATTTTGTTTAAGATTTGTTTTTGGTCTTTTTCCTATTCCAGTTAATTTTCAGAGGCAAAATAAGTACAGTACATATGTCACAAATACAATGGGATATTGACAGTGTAACCTACTATCTGTCGCAAGTGTGGGGTTTTTAAATAGCAGATACAGAAATTACGAAACTATAAGTTTGTGACCCACATATTTTTACCAGGGAAAAATATACCTAAAGTCAAAGTCATCTTTATTGTCACATAACGTTTCTTTAAATGCTCTGGCACAGCCAGACAAAACAGTTGACATTGTCAAACTATACTAAAATAAACTAGCTTATAGGTAAAATAAATACATAGTAACAAAATAAACAATTCACATTGATTTGTCTTCGAGAAACTGATCTATACTAGGCCTATAATAATTCTTTTCCAACAAAAATTCAACAATTTTTTCTTTAAAAGATACTAATCCTTATTGATTTGTAATTAACGTCCGCACTAGTGAGTACTACGACTATCCGCAGTACTATAATGATAATTAGACCAATTCGTAATTACCAAGGCAAAAATGTGGTTCGGATTCCACTATGTAGGTCCCTTAGTTGCCATTAGCTGTATGGGCTATTAATTAACAGCTGTGTCTAAGAAATGTCGACCTTAGTCACTAAGAAGACTACAAGATCGCGCCACTCATCCTTCTTTTACCCATATAAGAAGGTGTCCTTTCCAAAAGATTTAATCTGTGTATATTGAAAACCTGTATGAAATCTAGTGTTATAATTGTGCCCTAGGCCTATGTTAAATGAATTATAGGGTGTAAGTTATGCAAACTCCTCAAAAGATTTTAACTTAATTGTACCATATTTACCATAGGTCTATAGGGAATAAGCTATTACTACCATAAACTAATATATCAACTTTTAAAATGCAATGATTTTTGTAGCAAATTTCCCTATAGACCTAGGGAAGTAGGAGGTGGCACGGTAAGACCTAGGCCCGAGACCGATTTACTTTTTCATTTTGATGTCCCCAGAGGCCAAAAACACCATTTGTTCAAATTGTTATATATATTTATATAGATATATATATATATATATATATATATATATATATATATATAACATTGAACTTGTAAACAAAGCAAAAAATCATTAAATAGGCTACCTACACATTCAAAATTTATCTTTTGACATCAAGGACATGTATACCAACATTCCCCCAAAAGAAACTTTGAAGATATTAAAACATGATTTAGAAAAGCGCAACATCCTTTCCGAACAAGAAATTCAAGAAATCACAAAACTGACAAAAACACGCAGCTAAACCAAAATTATTTTACATTTAATCGAAAATTCTTCAAACAAAGTGAAAGTTTGGCAATGGGGTCACCTTTATCTGGTTTGATAGCTGATATATACATAATTTAGAAGAAAACAAAATTAACAATGATTAAAATCCATTTCATTCAAAAAAATAAATATTTGTAGGCCTACAGATATGTTGATGATGTAATGCCTTTTTGAAGGAAATGAAGAGGAAAGTAAAGATTTTTTTAAATATTTGAACACATTGTCCAAGAAAATAAAATTTACCCAAGAAATTAACGATTATGAAATAAACTATCTCGAACTAACTATTTCAAAAACATAAACAAACATGATTTCAAAATTTACAGAATACAAACTCAATCAGACCTAATGATACCATCAAATTCTAACCATCCTTGGAAATACAAACTATCTGCTCTCAGAGGGTCGCCGGGATTTTATCCCCCTGGAATTTTACACCCTGGGCAAAGCTGACGTCACTATGACGTAGTAACCTGAGTGGCCAAAAGTTTGTTCGCGGCCGGAATTTTACCCCCGCGGATTTGGAAGTCTAATGAAAATAGTCAGAGCGTGATTAATTAGATTAGCGATAAAAGCCGGAATTTTACCCCCTGTCCATATAACTAGCGTTTAGGCAACTGAAGATGTACGGGCCGGATTTTTACCCCCGGAATTTTACCCCCGGAATTTTACCCCCCGGAATTTTACCCCCTGGCTGATTTTAGAAATTGAATGATTGATTTTATTATTTCTGTTTTTAATTAATTGTAAACATTTCATTATTTAGTAGCCTATCTTTATTTATTTATTTTGTAATCTCAACTAAGTAAACAGAATTCGCTGTTTTATTTTGATCATATTAACCAACAGTTGGCTTCAAAGATCGAATCCTGACACTCGAATCTCAAAATCTATCTATACTTATTTAATACGCAAGTAAGTTTTTTGTGACAATTACTCCTCCGAAACTACTGAACCGATTGGCATGATTTTGGTGTCATTGGAAAGAGCGTAACGTGAAGTTGTGCAGGAAACTTTCTTTTTAGTTAAATAATTAAAGAATGAGGCCCTGGGGCCCTTTAAAGTTTCGTATTTCTCCATAAGATTAACATGGGAAACAAACATTGTTATGAAACTCCAGCTGTTGTCAGAAATGCTGTTCTGCTATTTAATTTAATTTGTTTACAAGGAGAATTGTTTCTTGGTGCCATGTGGTTAATGAATTATACTTTAGCATACTGTTGCTACTCATACTGTTGCTATTTACCTGCGCCGACTGTGAAACTGCGGAACTTTAATATCGTCTCTGGTTTAAACAAAAAGTATAATTTCCACCCGTGACGTGTAGCTTAGTGTGCGACAAAGTGTATGCATGTTATGTAGTGATATTGTATTGGTGATCGCGGTTCACCACCCTAGCCTAACCAACAACTTTGACCGTACTTCCAAAAGGTGTATATTAGGCATGGGGGTTACACCGAAACGGTTTATCACTCGTTTTGTACACAACGATGCAATACTGTGTCTTGTGAATCTCAAAAATAGTGTCTTTAGTGATTTTGCCAAAAGTGAGGTTATCCCTACTTCAACCCTAGGATAGGCCTAAAACAGCCTATTTACCTTACCATGATAGGTTTACCACTATCACCAACCAGGTAAGGAATAGGCCTACTGATAATTAAATAATAAATACAAAAACTCAACCCCTCTATAATTTTGACCCATTACAACTATATAAAATGATAGTATTGTAATACATTGAGAGATCTTCATTTGAATAATCAATAAGCAAGATTGAGCCTTTGCCTATATGTTTCCTGGTAAGTGTGTTGTAACTGTTTCTTATATAGTATATTATAGTATCTCAAAGTAAAACCGAATTATTCTTTTCTGTATTCTCACCCCGTAGCGAAGCACAGGTAGAGCAACTAGTACTTATTTAATACGCAAGCACGATTTTTGTGACAATTACTCCTCCGAAACTACTGAACCGATTGACATGTTTTTGGTGTCATTGGAAAGAGCGTAACGTGAAGTTGTGCAGGAAACTTTCTTTTTAGGTAAATAATTAGAGAGAGTAGCCTACACCTTATTGTGTACAAATTGGCTAAATAACTTAGGTACGGTACATTATAAAAGCTGACAGCCTTTTTACGCTGACTTAAATTGTAAGCTTACCTTTTCCCGTACATGTGCAGATTGATTGTTAAAAATTAACCCTTTAAACTGGAATAGGACTGTCATGTAAATTGTGAGCATTTCCTTTTGTTAATAATATTTTAGTTGACTCTTTTAAAATCATCAGAAATTATGACTGTTATTAGTTTTTAAACAAGTTATTTGTTTATAAATAACTCCTGTACTTCTTTGCAAATGCTCGATTATGTACACTAGTTAATATTAAAACCCTGTTCGATTAGTTAGGCCTAATGTTAAGATATAAATTAAGATAGGCCTAGGCTACTTAATAATAAAATGTTTACCATTAAATTAAAACTGAATGACGATAATTAATCATCCTCACTAATTTATATCTGGCCATGGGGTAAAATTCCGGGGGTAAAAATCCGGGCCGTACATTCTAGGTTTTTATAATTTGATGTGTTCTGATTAAACTCACAACCGTGAAACTAGGCCTATATGTTTAATTCCGCGTTTAATCAATCGAGCTGATGTCGCGAAACTCAAAAGTTCCCCCTCTCAGATCCATGCTAAATCGTCTTTGGACATTCTAATGAAAAAGGAAAATTACAAAATAGGATTTAACAAAATTAAATTCTTAGCTTGAAAAACATCATCTACAATATATATTTGGTAATTAAAAACATCAAAAGAAATAATCTAAATCAAGAACACAACAAATAAAGAAAGAAGAAAGAAAAATTCATTAGTATCCTATTCAATACAACTCTTAACAGGACTACAAGAAAAACTTTTCAAAATTCTGAATACAAAATTGGCTTTAAAACAAGAAATCACACTTTTATATAACATTATTACAAATAAAGAACATCAAGATATCTACGGTACAACAAATCTGGCATACAGTACCCACAAAATTAACTGCACTGATTGTGAACACTTCTATATCGGTCAGACAGGACGTTCTTTTAAATCTAGATCCAAAGAACACATTCAAGCTCTGAGTAAAACAGACACCAAGATTCAACCACAAATTTAGTATCCGTCTCTTTAGAATTTGTCCAAAAAATACGGAAAAAATATTATTATGAACAAAATTCTACCGCTTTAGACAGTAAATTGCCTCCATCCTTATTGAAATTCAAAGGAACATTCTTGGGAACCTGATCAATTACCTCCTGATCATCCAATCGAACAATTTATCAATGTAGTAACATCAAATTTATCAGATCCTTCATTTCCCGACAGTTACCCAAAAACAAAAAACTTACAAATCAAGAGTTCAAAGCGATCAGATCCTTACAGAATAGCAAAAATATTGCAGTACTTCCTGCTGAGAAAGGAAACAGCATAGTTATTTTAAACAAAACTGATTATATTAATGAATGTGAACGGCAATTACAAGATTCTTCAACATATAACTTGTCGTTGAATCCATGTTTACAATTTTGAAAAGTCTGCGTATGTTTGAAGGAAATATAAAAAAGTACTTCTCATCCCTTGATATTTCGAGCATGAATATCAAAATTATATCTTGTATCTATTTTTTTCTGTAAGTATACCGTAGTCTTCACTGTGCCATCTAAATGACCTTTGTATCTATTTGATTTTTTTGTTTATGCCTTATTTGTTAGGCTATGTACTGTAATTTATCTTTGACTTGTGTTTTGCAGCATGTATTCAACTTTATTGATGTATCCAAATGCATGTACATGTCTAATGGAATAAAATATTGATTCTTGAATGAAACAATCGAACAATCGATATATTGATCAATATTTTCATTCGAATGAGTGTAGGACCTAAAGTAAAGTGCAGCCAGGCCTACTGTAAGGCCTACTATATATGTAATCAGAGAAAAACTTGCCTAGGCTTACTTACTTATGAAATCTGGTAGTTGTCATGTTCTAAATAGGCTAGGCCTACATAAGTTGTTAATGAAAACTTCACATCCAACACAAGTTTAAACTGGTCACTTCACATTTGTTAGGCTAAATTAAATTTCATACTAAACACTGAGTTTAACCAACTTACTAGACCTACTAGACACACTGACACAACCACAACGTAACCAAACCAAACAAAACAAACAACAATGCAAACGCAAAGCAAAATGCAATGCAAATGCAACGCAATACAAGCAGTGAAGCAGAAGGCAAGGGAAGCAAGCAAGGAGCAAGAGCAAGTGATGGTGATTACTGAATACTGATTGCCGATTGGTGAAGAAGAGCCTCCCTCTTTCAGGCAAAAGAGAATTGGATTGAATTGAATAGTCACATGGAGGCAACTGGAACTGAACTGAACACGAAGTACTGAACCATTGACTATATAACAGTAAGATAGTTTTTGATCCATTTTAAGCTGCACGCGCACTACGGCGGCACGGCACGGACGGGCGGGCGGCACGGCAATTTTTAAAAGTTAATAACATTGAATGTCATATGAGTGCGCCCACTACGGCGGTACGGCTGGCAACGGACGTTCGGCAGCTTCCGCCGTTTGTTAAAAAGTCCGGGAGACAGAACTCCAGGACATTTCCGAGCTGCCGTGACGCCCGTACCGACCGTGAGCACTGCATACCGAGCGGGCGGGCGGCACGGGACATCCGCCATTTCGTATGTTGTAAACATAGATGTTAGTAAGTTGATTTTTCTCGTTGAGAAATAACCAGAACTGTACAACATGCGACATCCGGAATATTTTAATAACGTCCAACGTGACAATATATGGGCAGAAATATGATATATTATGAAACAATCAGGTAAGTTTTACACATAATCCTTCTACAAGATCAGGAAACAAGGTGTGGAACCCTCCAAAACTTAGTCTTTTCCTGTTTATATAGTGTATCTAAAATCTTTGCTAGCACCTTCTTTGTCTCCTCTACCTCTGCTAAAATTAAACCTACTATCACCACTTTATCTACATCCACATTTATGTTGCATATAATAACTATTGGACTATGTTTATTATATTTAGTACTCTTTGACTTCCTTATGAGAATTCAAATGTTTTTGTTTTACATATGGTTTTCTGTTCTTCATTAACTATTCTGTAAATAAGTTTGACTAACATAGTACATTATAAAAGTTTCTTCCAGTAAAGTATTCTTTTCATTTCATTCTATTTAACTTGTAACAATAGTATTTTATAACAGGTTATGGGCCCAGACACCCTTATTGTGTGTTACAGGTATTAAATAGAATAATTTATTGCTTGAGATAAAATCTTTAGTATGGAATTCGTTATGCAGAAAATGGAATTGCTGCATGGGAAGGACAACTGGGATGATTGGAAATATCTAATGCAAATTAGGCTTAAAGGTATCCCAGATGCATACGAAGCCATTTCAGGTAAAATGGAATTGTCAGAGAAACCTAAAGATGAAACACAAGCTGCAGAAATGAAAGAATACAAAATGAAGATAGATAAGTATAACAAAACACAGTCAGAGGTAATGTTTATGTTAGCATCTTCATTAAGTAAGGAAGTAAGAGCTCAGGTAAGAAACCTAGAAAAACCAGATGACGTTTGGAAGGAGCTGCATAATCTATTTGCGGAAATAGAGGAAAATAAAGCCTATGATATATGCTCTCTGTTCTTCACCTACAAATGGGATCAACACTTGGATATGGCTGGGAACCTATCTGCAATCAAGTCATTATGGGTAAAGCTTCAAGAAGAAATTAAGAAAATCCAAGACAAGAAAGAAGATAGTTTACCTCAGATATTGTTGATTTGCAAGATTTTTGAAATCCTACCAGCAGAATATTCCAACTTTCAGACAACTTGGTTAATGATTCACAAGGATAAAGCGAGAAACCTTGACAATCTTACAAATTGGCTGTGTACAGAAGCAAGAAAGCTGACTTCAAAGGAAAATGAGAAAGAAGATACAGCTTTAATGGCGGTCAATAGATCTAAAGAAGCCAAAGGTAACTTAGTAGGTCTACAGAAAAACCGCAAGCACAATGATAAAAAGAAAAAGTTTCCATGTCACTACTGTCACAAGAAAGAACATTGGTTGCAAGAGTGTCAGAAATGGATAGCGGATGGAAAACCTGAAAGAAAACATGAAAAGAAAAGCTTGGAAAAAGAATCCAAACAAGCAGCACTAACCATATTAAGTAATTGTGTTTTTCAAACCCAGAATACTACCGCATCACATGATTGGTACGTGGACAGTGGTGCTACCAACCATGTTACACATTGTAGGGAAATGTTTACTGACTTTGAACAATTTGAGTTACCTCATGCAGTTACAATGGCAAATGGACAACAGACAAGTGCTATTGGTAGAGGAACAATTTGCATGGAAGCAAATTTGGATGGTATTTGGAATACAGTAAAGCTAACCAATGTATGGTATGTACCTGGTATTTTTGCAAACCTATTTTCAGTAACCGCTGCTCAAGATTTAAATGTAAATAGTAAATTTGTATCGACATCCAAGGATTGCACTTTGTTTGATAGAAATGGTAAACCACTCATCAAAGGACATCGAAGTCAAGGCGGAGGCTTGTTTAAATTAGCAGTAAGAAAATCAGTAGACCTCATGGCTGTTATGGAAGGAGTTCCAGCTGTTAATCAGTTGCAGTTACTTCATGAACGACTAGGACATCAAAGCAAAACTCATGTACAAGAAATTGCAAGGAGAGAACTGAACCTTAATCTCAAGCTTGACAATGAGGTATGTGAAGGATGTGCTTATGGGAAAATGCACAGGACACAATTCAGAAGCAGAGATGAACACAGAGCTTCAGTACCTGGTGAAATCGTTCACTCTGATGTTTGTGGACCTTTCTTTGAGTCGATTGGAGGTTCAAAGTACTTTGTATTGTTCAAGGATGACTTTACTCGCTACCGCAGTGTTTATTTTATGAAGACAAAATCTCAAGTTGTAGAGAAGCTGAAGCAGTTTCTTGCAGAAGTCAAAGTCACAGGCCATGTAATATGTAAGTTGAGATGTGATGGAGGAGGTGAATTCGACAATGAAAGTATTAGACGAGTCCTTCAAGTGAATGGAATACAACAGTTGATCACAATGCCATACACACCACAACAGAATGGATCTGCAGAGAGAGAAAATCGGACCATAGTTGAATGTGCAAGGTCAATGATGCATGCTCACGGTGATCTGCCTCAAGGCTTGTGGGCTGAATTGATAAACACTGCAGCCTATATTTTGAACAGAACTGCTAAGTCATCAGTTGCCAGAAAGACTCCATATGAATCATGGTTTGGAAAAAGACCTACGATAAAACATTTACGGGTTATCGGGACAGATTGTTTTGTCCATATTCCAAAGCAGAGAAGACGTAAGTTTGACAAGAAAGCGATGAAATGCAAACTTATTGGATATGATGGTAATGATGGATATCGTCTCTGGAATTCATGGAAATGTACTGTCATTCGGTCCAGGGATGTAAAATTTTTGAAAGAGCCTATTAGTGAATCCATAGTAAATAGGCCTATATCTTCAGAAGAAAAAGTCCCCGATGAAGCAAAAGATGAGAACTGTTCAGCCCCTGTAGTAGAAAATGTCCCCATTCTCTTTCCTGAAGATGAATCGGAAGAAGATAAATTGACAGACGAGGAAGCAGAACAACAGGAAGAAAACGTTGTGCAAACTCGCCAACTCCGAGATAGAGCTATGGTAAGGCAGCCCATTCGTTTTGAAGATTTTGTGATGAGTGCTGTTATGGGGAACACACACTATGAACCTAATACATACATGGAGGCATCGAACTGTGAAGATCATCTGCAATGGCAAAAAGCAATGGAAGATGAGATTAACTCACTTCACATGAATGAAGTGTGGACACTTACTGAACTACCCAAAGGTCACAAAGCCATACCTTGTAAATGGGTATACAAAGTAAAAACAAATGCCGATGGATCCATAGAGAGATACAAAGCCCGTCTAGTAGTAAAGGGATTTGTACAGAAGAAAGGAATTGATTATAATCAAACCTTTAGTCCAGTAGCAAAAATGCCAACAATCAGAAGTGTTATCGCAGTAGCTGCTAATGAAGGCATGAAACTTACACAATTTGATGTGTCTACTGCCTTTTTGTACGGCAAAATAAATGAAGAAATTTATATGCATCAACCAGAAGGATTCAGTGATAACAGTAATCACGTCTGCAAGCTTAATAGAAGTTTGTATGGTTTGAAACAAGCACCAAGATGCTGGAACGAGAGAGTTGGAATGGTCCTAACAAAACTGGGACTGAAAAAGAGTGATGATGATCCATGTCTTTTTATCCGTAACAACAATGGACATAAGTTAATCGTTGTTCTATATGTTGATGATGGACTCATTGCTTCAACTCATGATGAAGACTTAAATTCATTCCTAGTAGAATTGAAAAAAGAATTTAAAATCAAGTCAAAACCAGCAGATTATTTTTTAGGATTGGAGATTTCCAAATCTGGTGAAAATATCAAATTAAGTCAAGGAGGATATGTTTCAAGAATTTTGGAAAGATTCAACATGGAAAACTGCAGATCAGCACCAACACCTATAGTAAAATCTGAACAGGAAGACAAAAGAACAGATGAGACGTCTTTTCCGTATCGAGAAGCTGTCGGAGCTCTTATGTACCTCATGGTTAGTACCAGACCGGACATAGCGTACGCAGTGAGTGTCGTCTCCAGAAGCCTAGAAAATCCTACAATAAATGATTGGTGTCGAGTGAAGAGAATACTCAGATATCTTCAGGGTACTAAAGATTGTGGAATCGTGTACAAGAAGCACATTGGAAGTGGCGTTCTTAATTGCTACAGTGATTCAGACTTTGGTGGTGACCATGAAACCAGGAGATCGACAACAGGACTACTGACTCTGTACGCAGGTGGAGCGATATCATGGATCAGCCAACGACAGCCTTCTGTTCAACTTTCCACTACGGGAGCAGAGATAGTAGCTGCGAGTGAGGCGGCCAGGGATTCAATTTGGTTAAAGCGATTGCTAAGTTCATTAACTGAACTTAAAAGTACACCTGTGATCTTCGTAGACAATGAAGCTGCTATATGTCTAGCACAGAATCCAGAGCATCACAGAAGAACG